TCTCTGAATCTTTCTTGTATATGGGATCTCTGACTATCATTTTTGGGTTCCCATACATATGTATATACTAAATTTGGTTATTTTTCTTGCAAAATAAAATGAGTAAGAAAGTGTTCTCTCCATATCTATATATCTATATTAATATATATCTGGTCCTCACCCAAGGAGTGAGGATATTTTTTCCATTGACTTTTAGACAGATTGGAAGGGAGGGGGGTGGAGGACACACACACATACAAAGGAGAAAGAGAGAGAGAGAGAGAGAGAGAGAGAGAGAGAGAGAGAGAGAGAGAGAGAGAGAGAGAGAGATGGATTTGTTGCCTCCCAAACTTGCCCAACAGAGGGCAGGGATCAAATCTTTAATGCAGGTATGTGCTCTTGACTGGAATTGAACCCATGACCTTCTGGTGCACAGGCTGATGCTCTAACCACTGAGAAATGCTGGCCAGGACTCCTCTTATTTTATTTTAATAGTTTGTATAATATTGGTATTATTTCTTCCCTAAATGTTTAATAGGATTCACCTATTAAAGTTATCTGGGCTAGGGATTTTCTTTATGGAGAGATTTTAAATTAAGAATTTATTTTTTGCTCTGGTTGGGTAGCTCAGTTGGTTTAGAACATTGTCCCAATACACCAAGGTTGTGGGTTCCATTCCCAGCCTGGGCACATATAAGAATCAACCAATGAATGCACAGCTATGTGGAACAAGTCAATCTTTCTCTGTCTCCCTCCTTCCCTGTCCACAGCAGCACCCAGACCTCCACTGCAGGCCCATGCCATTGGTTTCTCTCCCCTGCCTGCACTCCAAACTTCTCTGCTATCCAGTGGGTTGAACCATACTTTAGCCAATGAACCCCTCCTATGTTTGTCCTTCTTGGAGTATTCTCCTTCAGCTCTAGGGTACCATATACATTTCCTTGTATTTTATAGTTACTCTTTTATCATTGTTAACAATTATTTCTATTAAACTTCTCCTGTTTAGCCTACTGTGTGTTTTCTATCTCTTGATTGGACCCAAACTGCTACTAAAAGTTTTGACATGTGTATACAACTGTGAAACTATCACCATGATCAACATAATGAACCTATTCATTGCTATCATAAGAACCTAATGCTTGTTTGATATCCATCCTTCCATTTTTCTATACCCAGGTGAACAACCTTTTATCACTATTGATTAGTTTGCATTTTCTAGGATTTTATATAAACAGAACCATGTAGTATATAGTCTTTAATAAACTCTAGCTTATTTCACTCAGCTTAATTATTTGTATATTCATCCATGTTATTATTTGTATTAGTAATTTATTCCTTGTTATTGATCAGTAGTAGCTCATTGTATAGATGCACCAGTTTATCATTCACCTGTTGGTAGAAATTTGGGTTGTTTTCAATTTTTAACCATTACTAATAAAGTTGCTATAAATTTTTATGTGAAAGTTTTTGTATGGATGTAATGTTTTCACTTGTCTTGAGTCAATACCTAGAATTGGAATGGCTGGGTCATATGGGAGATATAGGTTTAGCTCTCAACTGCAAAACTGTTTTCCAAAGGGATTGTACTATTTACATTTCCATCAGCAATGTATGAAAGTTTAATTGCTCCACATCCTTGCCAACACTTGATATGGTTCATCTGTTTAATTTTAGCCATCTAGAAGGTATGTAGTGATTTCTCATTATGGTTTTAGTTTGCATGTACCTAATTATTAATAATGTTGAACACCTTTTCATGTGTTTCTCTTTGTTATCTGTATATCTTCATTGGTGATGTTTATTCAAATATTTTGCCCATTTAAAAAATGTAGGTTGTCATCTTTTCATTGATATGCAAGCATTCTTTGTATATTTTAGATTCAAGTCCCTAGATAGATCTGTGTTTTGCAAATATACCCAAGTCTGTGGCCTATCTTTTTACTTTCATAATAATGTCTTTTGAAAAGCAAATGCTTTTAATTTTGAAGAAGTTCAACTTATCAATTTTTTATTTTACAGTTCATGGCTTTGTGTCTTTAAAAAATCTTTGCCAAACCTAAAATCACTAAGATTTTCTCCTGTGTTTTCTTTCAGGAGTTTTTTAGGCTATAAAATCTTGGTATTATGGTTAGTAACAACCCCTCACTATTCTTGAATTTCTTGTTAGTGACCTTCTGATGATGATACCAAATTGAGACCTCTCTCTCTTTCTCTCTCTCTCATACACACACACACACACACACACACACACAGAGAGAGAGAGAGAGAGAGAGAGAGAGAGAGAGAGAGAGAGAGAGAACCTCAGAGATGAACAAGAGTCTATAGGTACTATTATTATTATTAATAATACTTTTAATCCTCATCTGAGGATTGTTTTCCCATTGATTTCTAGAGAGAAGAAGAGAGAGAAAGAGAAACACTGATCTATTGCCTCCCCTAGGCGCCCTGACCAGGCATCAAATCTGAAACCTGGTATGTGCCCTGACCGGAAATTAAACCCATCACCCTTCAGCTTATGGGACACTGCTCCAACCAACCTACTGGCCAGGGCTCAGTAGGTACTCTTATCATCATCACCATTTTACAGATGAGAGACTGAAGCCCAGAGGGACTGATATATGTCCAGTCACTCAGCAGAGACCAGAGAAGCTGGATATGAACCCAGGCAGCCTGACTCTAAGCCTGTGCTCCTAAGCACTGGTATTTACTGAACTTACATAAGTATTTCCTTTGTCTTAAAAAAAAAAATTTAAACAGGAAGCACCTTTTCTAACTTGTCCTTTAGGAACTAGTATGTTACCGGATCTGAGATGACTGAGGGAGTGCTTACCCAGGTTTCTGCTGGTTGATGTAGGTTCTGGTTCTGGCTCTGGTCTGCTGTGTGACCTTGGGCAAAGAATGTTCACCTCCCTGAGCCCCACGTTTCTCCTCTATAAAATGTTGAGGGGGATATTCTAGTTAATTTCCAAGGCCCTTTCTAGCTGTCACATTCCTCACGTCTATGATTCTGTGATTAAGTTCCTGGAAGGTTTAAGTACTGATAAAAGTGCCATTAAGTTCTGTATACTCAGCCCTGGCAGCCTGTTACCTAAGTTACCTGGGGTGGGGGTGGGGGTGGGGGTGGGGGAGGGGGAGGGGGCTGGGATGGGTGGAAGGGAAAGCCTTGTGTTTGGCAACTGCATGTTATGCTGCAGATGGTGGCAGACTGTTCAGCAATGTGCAGTGTCGCTGTGTTTCTTCTGATTTCTGGACCGTGCTGTATCCCTGCCGACCTTCCAAAAAGGTTTCCCAACAAGAGAAACTTGTGCAGTAAGTCCCCCAGGCGAGTAACTGGAGATAACTGAGATGGGATTGAATGGGTCTCCTGCAGAGAAATTTGAAGGACAGACCTGTTTGGGCGATGATCTGGTTGACCCAAGGCCTCTCTGTCTATCATTCCTTGACCTCAGGTCAGAGTGATAGAAAGGGGGGAAGCTGCCAAGGCAGTTGGGGATGCTCCTGCCCTGAAGTCTCGGAGAAGAATAAGTGACTGTTTGTCCCACTTGGGTTAGTCGAAGGCAGAAGCCTGTGAGTCTATGACCTGCTGAGACTTGGTTCGGGCTAGAAGTCCTTGCTTTCAAGGAGGTGACTGCTCCTAATCAATAAATAAATTTAAAAATAAAAACTAAGGCCGGGTGCTTAGAGGCGATTGTTGCAGCAGTCACAAACAGCCACCTCCACCGTGTGCTTGTTATATGCCAGGCTGTATCCAAGGACGTTTAGTCCATCATGACAAAGAGACTCATCGTCTGCATGACTGCAGGCAAGCAGCTTATTTTCCCGTTTGCATTTCAAATTTCCAAAGCTGTAATATGAAGATAACCTATGTACAAGGGCAAGGTGGTATATAACAGTGGTCGGCAAACTCATCGGCCAACAGAGCCAAATATCAACAGTACAATGATTAAAATTTATTTTGAGAGCCACATTTTTTAAACTTAAACTTCTTCTAACACCACTTCTTCAAAATAGACTCACCCAGGCCGTGGTATTTTGTGGAAGAGCAGAGCTAAAGGGGCCAAAGAGCCGCAAGTGGCTCTCGAGCTGCAGTTTGCTGACCACGGGTAGATAATGTAACACCTTTGTGTCAATGGAAGACTAGGGAGCAAATGTACACAAAGCACTAGGCAAACAGAAGGTATTCAGTAAGTGATCCATAGACTCTGGGCTTCAGTGGCCTACTAGGGCAAGATTGACTGGTGTCTCCTCGGAGTCTAGATCTGGGCCTGGAACACAGCAGGTACTCACCACTTTGTAGGATCAAGGGCCCCCTGCACAGGAAAAGGCAAACTGTCATGAATATGTATGCATCACAAAATTTGTAAAGCTAAACCAAGAGAAACAGACAAAAAACATACTGTGAGTAGGAGACTTCCGTGTCCCTCTTGGCCCATGGCAGAGCAGCTGGGCCAAAAAACTATGCAAAGATGCAGAGAGGCCTAAACACCATAACAAATGTAAAAAGGATCAAAGGGAAACAGTCCTCTATCTTCATTTTCTGAAAAACATACCTCCTTTTTGGAGACCATGGGACCCTGACAACAACTGACCACAGAGAAATCCTCAATAAATCTCCAAAGGGAAGCAATGAAACTAGAAAATGAAAGACAAAATGGGAAAATATAAATCACTTGGGGTACAAGAGGCAATCCAAAGGGAGACTGTATGATCTCAATAAATATTCAATTACCTAAGGGTCACAGGGCTGACAGTGGCAGAGCGGAGACTGCCTGAATCTGGGCCTGCTAACCAAGCCATGAACTGGTTTGCGACCCCAGATGAATCACCCAGGGCCTCAGTTTCCCCTTTGATCACAAATCGCCTCTAGGGCCCATCGGTTTGAGGAGAGGTGGAGAGGTGGGGGAGGGGAGGTGGGCGTGCGGGATGCGCTGGAGGACAACTTTCGGAGCAGCCGCAGGGTGCGGGTGTTGCCAGGCGGCAGCAGAGGGCGCTGGGTGGCCGGCCTGGGCCCGCGCCTGCCATTGGTCCGGACTCGGGCTGCAGAGTTGGTGGAAAGTGACAAGTTGAGGGAGGCTGAGAGCCAGGGAGCGAGCGCGAGGAGCAGCAGGAGGAGCCGCCGCCGCGGCCACGGAGGGAGGGAGCCCGGCACCGCAGCCGTGTGCGCGGGGCTTGCTCATCTGAGTCCTCGCAGGGCAGACTCGGCCTCCGCCGGTGAGACGCGGACCGTCCAGGACTGACCGGCCGGCCGCGGCGAGACTGCAGCCGGAGAGCTGGGGAGGGACCGCGCTTTTGGGGTCCAGAGGCTGCAGGGCGGAGGCGGCGGCGAGGGAGCAGGTTCGAGGGACAAAGAACATTGCCGACGGGACCCCCCTTCCCCCCGACATCCTGCGTGGAGAGCAGCCGGGACGAGGTGGCCGGGACCCCGGGCAGAGCCCGTGGATGTTCTGCGCGCGGCCCGGGAGCCGCCAGAGGAGGAGGAATGCACCGGCCGCGCCGCCGCGGGGCGCACCCGCCGCTCCTGGCGCTGCTGCTGGCCGCGCTGCTGCTGGCGGCGCGCGGGGCTGCTGCCCAAGGTAAGAGGCGCGTCCCCCCGGCCCCGAGCCCGCCCGGCCCGCGGCCACCCTCCCTCCCGGCGGCCCTGCCCGGCGCTGGGCGCACAGGGAGAGCTGAGCCCACCTCGGGGCGGCCGCGACCCGTCCTGGGTCCCGCCAATGCGACCCCAGGCGCCGGGGAGGCAGGCAAAGCTTTGGCCCGGGGACCCGCTGCGGGGTGCGCCCCCCGGGCACCCCTTCCTCGGCGCCCCGCAGTGGTTGTCAGCGCTGACAGCGTGGAGGGGTTGGGGTGAATGGGGCACTTCCGTGCTGCTGGTCCCCCCATCTCTAGCCAGACCTTTCGGGGTGTTCAGGCAAGTCTGCCCCCCGAAAGAGCAGCCGTCCCGGAAGGCGCGGTCCAGGAGGGAGTTGGTTTTTGTTGTTGTTGTTGTTGTTTTGTTCTGTTTTTGTTTTTGTATTTTCGGTGGCTCCTGCGAGAGCCCAGGCTGTCCGCAGACCGATCCGAACAAAAGCCCGGTCCTTGTGGGACTCGGGAGGCCTCGCCTCTCCACCGCCCTCGGCTCTCCAGCCTTCTGGAGGGTCACCGGGGAGGCCACTTTGTGCAAAATGTGCTGTCAGAGGCGGCCTAGGAGTGTGCACGTGGGGTGTGTGTGTGTGTGTGTGTGTGAGAGAGAGAGAGAGAGAGAGAGACAAACAAGGGAGAAAAGCCATCTAATGCATACTTGATTTTGGTAATCTCCGAAGACAATTGCAACAGTTAGAGAAAGGCTCCGCTCGAAAGCCGGAGCGTCTCAGCTCGCTGCGGGAAGCCGGGATCCTCGCTGCGTGCGAGCCGGCACACAATGAGGGGGAAGAGCCCGGCTGCGCCTGCGGAGACAACCGGTTCATTCTTTTGGAGGTTGGAGGGGGAAAGTTGATTAAAGTCTCCGGGGCCTTTGGGCCTCACTTTTAACATGCATCCTTTGAGGGAGGTTGCCGGAGCCCCCCCTGGATTCTTTTCTCCAACCCATAAGTATAGTCTCTTGCCCTTTTATCATGCATCTTTCATTTCAGTTAGGCTGTGTTTAGGAGAAGAAAAGGCTGTTTTGCAGTTGAGGAGAGGGGGAAAGATCTATTCAGTACATAGACTGCAACTTCAGAATTCGCTTTTTTTTTCTTTTTTCCTAACACTCAGCTAATAATCTTCATGGTAGAAAACACTCTGGAAGGAAGCTCAGTGTGCGCGCATTTTGATATCTAGAGATGTTTTTGGGGAAGTGGGGACCATATTTTCTGAGGATGATTCTGAAACGGACCCTATCTTGAAGTTGTGCTATTTGGGGCCCTCCTGTGGGACGAGTGAAAAGAGCTTCTAATTGTCATTAAGAAGTACGTATCAGCTGGGAGTGCACCTTTGCAGTGAAAATCCTAATGAAACGTAAACAGTCTGGTCACATGGGTGTTTGCCTCTATGATGCCTAACATCTGGCCCCAGCACCTGGGTGAGAATGGGCCACACTGCTAAGCCGTGTAAACATCCTGCTGCTGTCAGGTTGCCTAGCACAGGGAGGTGGAGATGACCAGGTGATTCTCGCTAAGGTAGGGCTCCTGGTTTGGGGCCTCAATTAATCCGGTTACATCCTCTGTCTGACTCCTGGTTGATTTTAGGTTATGGGGGATGGGGAGTGCACCATGCAGTGGGTATTTGCTGAGAAAAAGGCAATTTGGTTTTCAGCCGTCACCCAAATTTTGCCTTGTTTACCTGTCGATAGGCTTTTACAGTTCCAAACTCTTCAATAATGAGCTTAAATCTGTTATTATCGTCTAATTTGTTGTCTTAGAAATCTCTTTCCATGTCTGTGCATATTTGATCTTTTCGCTAGGGACAAAGCTTCTAGAATCTAGAGGAAGGCAGATTCACTTTCTTGTCTGATCCAAGATTCCTAAGGTAACTCAGACAGTGGCTTAGGATCAGCTTAAAGGGGGGATATGTTTCATTTATTTATTAAAAAAACAAAACAAAAAAAAACAAAAAAAACCCACCAACTCCGGGTTTCTTCTATCACTTTGCTATCATATTAGCCAGGAGGAGAAAAACCTGTACATTTATTTTTTTCTGGTGTGTGCATTGTTTTCACCCACCATCTATATACCTACCCAGAGCTATACCTCTCCAGGAAATTGAAGCCTTTATATAATAACTTCACCCGGAGTACAGGGTTTTTGGAACCTGCCTGGGGCTTTCTCAAAACCCCCTGGATTCTGCGGTTTGGCTCCTTGGAGTCAGAGGGAGGTGGCCTGCTACTGTGTTTGCTGTCATTTTGTAAACCTTCCAGTGCCATTTGCATAGGTGTCTGACCTGTCTACCTTTACAACAGGAGTCTCTTGAGGGCAGTAACACTGAGGGCCAAGTCAGCCACCCCAACTTTATGGGAGACTCCTGCAAACATTCCCCAGACAAAGCCACGCAGAGGCCCTATAGACAAAGGGTTGGTGTGCGGAAAATGTTTAATTTCTAATATCGCTTCCGCATACTTGGTAAGCTGTTTGCCACCTTGATGCCTCGGATCAATTTTTTGATATGTACTTAGAAGGCCTTTAAAAACTCAACTTTAGCCTATATTTTCCTTTCCATCTCCTGCCTGGTAAGCATAGGCTTCAAATTAGACTTGAAAGAAAATTAGTTAAGTGGAGTGTCAGTTGCATCCATTAGTATCCAATTTGGCTGTGGTTTGATGGTGACCACATACCCCGTTTCAAATATTCCTGAAAATTTTACGCAGCATCCTATGGAGAATGGAAAGCTCTCTAGATTTAATGTAAATGTATATCTACATGTAAATGGCATAAGTGTACATATGTATACTAGTATAGTAGGTGGTCCACATATTTTTGTTGAATGAATGGAGGATAACTTTTTTGGTCATATGTAAAATTTTTCCTAGTAATGCAACATGGGATATTTTCAAGGGTTTTTCCTTTCCTTACTCCATTTTCTAGCATGAAGGGGGTGCAGTAGGAGTTAACAACAGAGCTTAATGGCTATGAGCACAGTCATTGGTATGTAACAGGGCATATCGATTAGTTTTTCTGAGCCTTATCAGCATGTTAAGTGGAACCACGTATATCAGTCCTGGAGAAGAGCATCCAGCCTAGAGGGTCTCAACTTGGGCTACCTGACATTGAGGACATTCGGACCCCCAGAATGAATATACAACAATTTTATGTGCATTTTTGTGGTTTTTCTGTTTTTAGCTATAATTTGATTTGCTGAGAAAATCACAACCCCCAAAGATAGGAACCATTCATTTATTTTTAAAAATATATTTTATTGATTTTTTTAGAGAGGAAGGGAGAGAGATACAGAGTAGAGAGTTAGAAACATTGATGAGAGTCATCGATCAGCTGCCTCTTGCACGCCCCCTACTGGGGATGTGCCCACAACCAAGGTACATGCCCTTGACCGGAATTGAACCCAGGACCTTTCAGTCCGCATGCCGACGCTCTATCCACTGAGCTAAGCTGGTTTCGGCTAGGAACCATTTATTGAGTTGGTGCGTTTGATGCCTGCCTGGAGCCATGAGTTGCCTTCCTGGTTAGGTGTCAAGAGGTTTAGGGCTGGTGATGTGTCCCGGGCCTTAGCGCAGATCTACACAATCCGCGCAATCTCTATCTCTCCTCGCTTTCCAGTTTCTCTTCCACCAGGCTGGCTGCTATTGGGCCTGGGGAAAGCTGAAGAACACTGCCAAGTCCTTTGACCTCAACTAAGAATGTAATTCCCTAAACCCAAGCATTCTGAGATGCTTCTGTGACTACAGTTTATTTAACAAACACTTGTGTTCCGGCCAGTCACCATTCTGAGCATTTTGCAAGCATTTAACTCATTGAATCTTCACAACCCTTCTAGGGAGATAGCATAAATATCTCATTTAAATGTAGGCACAGAGAAGTTAAGTTACAACGAGGGAATGGCTTTGTTGGGCTTACAGACCCTGAGAGGTTGTGGCTTTGGTCATAACTGCTGCCCTAGACACTCTCTTCTGGGTTCAGTCTTACATTTTACAATTTCATTATGAATGGGCCTCAGGTTCCCTGTCTCCGGGTTTTCCAAGAGCAGCAAAGGAACATTTTCTTAGCCACATCTAGGGTTGACAACAAACGGTCGGAGATAGCCAATTTCCATTTTCTCTCCTGTGCTGGGGTTCTCTGAGCCAGGGTTGCTGTAACTCAGAGATGGGGCCGAAGGGTCCCCCAATGGTCTTCACTCTGATCAGGAGGAATTACATTGTTGTCATGAATTGCAGTTCTAATATAATAAGCCTGGAGGAGTGTGTCTGGGCGTTCTTTCCAACCAGCGATGAGATCCAGTTTGATGAAGTGACTTTGCATTTGCATCGTGGCCGTGGACAGAGCCGGGGTGATTTATTGCAGGGCTCTCTGGTGGGAGAGCTAGCCTGCCAGCTCCTCAGCCCCGACGCGGACCGGACCCTGGCAAACGCAGCCCCAGCTGGGAAACGCTGCAGCCTCCGAGGCCTTGTTCTCAAACAGAAGGGCCTCAGCTTGGCCTTACCTATTCCCCGAGGGGTGACAGGAGAGACTGCTGCCTGAGAAAGAAATAGTCTTCTAGGAGTCTGAGAAAGTTCCCTGGCGTGGAGGGGGAGGGGATGGCGGGAGTGGTGGTGGTGGTGGGGGGAACGCTTCGAAATCCTTAACTAAATGCAGCTGCTTGTTACATGGAGCCCGACTCGCATGCCAGGAATATCTAAAAAGCTAACGAATACAAAATACAAATAAACAGCAGTAAAAAGGCTCTCTCTTTGTTGCAGTAGGCTCGGTTGGGGTTCGCAGTTTGTTTAGGAACGGGGTAATTGTGGCATCCACTTTATTTTGGTAAGGCAGTGAAACGTGGATGGATGTTATTGTCCTTGGGATGCTACCACCACCACCTGAACTTCTTCCTTCACACCTCCCTCCCCACTCCGAAGGGCCAGGCCTGGACAGCCACAGGGTCCCAGTCTCAGACTGCTGCCCCGGAGTGAATT